CATTACTCTAACAAAACAGTAACAGTAAAAAGTTTCAAAGAAACGAAAAGAGTTACAGAAAACAATAACATCAAACAGTTACACGTAATTGTTTGTCAAACCAAAAGAAATATTAACCCGGTTTAGAACAAGTACTGCTATTGAAGTTGATGTAGATCAAGGCTAGTGTTTGACACTATGTCTTTAAGACATATTTCGCCCCCACACACGGTGCTTATGGAATATCAAGCATCTGTGTCATGCCCCAAATTTTACAAAATCGTGATTAAAAAAATTACTTTATTTATTCCAAAAACACATGCCAATTTGTTGTAAAAATATCTAGAAAAATATCTCTTTAGTTTAAATAAATTATTTTTTAAAAAAATTTTGACAGAGTTTCCTTTGAAAATCGGACATCCAGATAATTGGTGAGAGCTACCTGTGAGAGCATTAAACATAAAAATTATACCTAACTAGTCACTCACATTATATCAATCATATACCTCGCTTTTCATGATATCCACAAAAATGTCATTACCGTTCAATACCGCGGTGGCAAATGGAGGCCCACGAAGTCCTTTTAAACCTGGGTTATAATCTAATTATCAAAATTTATTCGTCATGAACATAATATATAAAATATCTAAAATCTTTATAAGTAAATCATTTAAAAGATCTCAATCTATACATATTCCCTCAAATTAATCAAGATATAAATCATTTACAAATCTTTAATAATATACATCATCCTACATTATTTTTTACATACTCTAACTAAATCATAACAACTATCGTTTGTCTCGATATCCCCACTATGCAGTCCACCAACATATGTCAATAACTGAAAATGTTAAATGATAGGGGTGAGCAACCACACACTCAATAGGATAATCATTTTCTCAAGCATATATAAGGTTTTAAATACCATCAGTTCACAATCATATTGATAGGCAAAGAAATAATTTATCAATAAGTCTAGGTACATGATAAGTATTAAGCATTTTTGAAAGTACACTACGTACTATTATTTGAAAGACATAAGTGAAACATCAATGAATTTACCATATCGAAATCAAATCTCAAAATAACACTATAAAACCTCTCTTCTTAAAACATAATACAAAACCATTGATTTTATAAAGTATAAACTGAGAAATCTTTATACAAATATATGCATAACAAATCTGGTAAAGTAATCATTTCTTATTTTAAACAAATTTCATAAACTTGTTCTTTCCAGAGAATTTTTCAAAAATATTAACTCCACGTATTTTCGTCTCAACCTCACCTTACCTCACCCCACTCAAGAAGGTTGTTGGAATATTGGTCTATTGGTTTCTTGGTATCCAAAATCCATGTATACTGCCCATACAGACAAATGCCATCAAACAAACACTGGTTCACAAATGAACCATAGATTCTAAAGAATACACTATATACAAAATCTCATATATTCTAAAGAATCCAAAATCTTAAGTTCAATCAAACACCCATAACAAAAATCAAGTTAGGGTTTCAAACCCACAATACCCAAATTCATTTAATGTATGTAGGTTTACAAATTTATAGTAAGCTCATCATTTCATTAAGACCCATAGCATGTATTTAGCTCATACTAAACAAATAGATATAGAACATACATGAGATACATCAATGTTATGCAAGAGAAAGGAAAATCCTACCTCAAAACCCAAGAACCCAAGCTCTACTTTCAAATCTTCAACTGAATTCAAGAATTTCAAATAATCTTCCTAAGTTTTCAAGCAAAAACCCAAGCTCTAATGGTCTTCTTCTTTCTTCCTCTCTCTTTCTTTCTCTAATTCTAAAGTTTATGGAGTAGTATTGGGTGAGAGGTGTGAGAAAAATGAGAGAAATAGATGTGAAAAAGGGGTTATAAGGGCTGAAATTCGCGCCGGGTACCGTTCACAGGACCCAAAAAAATGTATTTTCTCAAAAATTATAGTTTTGCCCCAAAATTTCTCTAATTTGATCCATATGACTACCCTAAAGTTTTTGGACGTTCTGGATCCATTTTTAATGTTATTTTAGGCTAAAAACAATTATTTTTATGAGTTCTATACATATCCAAGCCAAATATCCCCAAAATGCCAATTTACAATTTTTATTCCTTTGAATCACTATATGAGTTAAACGTCTATTTCAAGGTTTTTCGGACCTCCCGAATTCAATGGTAATGTTATTTTGACATAAAAAATTTAATAAATTTACTTAATTACCCTTATCAACCTTAAACAACTAAAAAAATTAAATTTGACTCAAAAATCAATATGCATGTAGCTCAAACTTATGCGACTAATCATTTAACAACGATTCAAAATTTCTTTCATCATTTTTATCATTTTAAAAATATTATCAAGTTAATATTATTTATATTTATATGAAATACGGGATCTCACAGTCCGCCTTCCAGAATACAATGATCATTTTACGAGCAGAAATAGTACTCCAATTTACTCGTCCAGCGAACCAAGATTGTGTTGTGCACTCTCCAACACACTGTCTTAATGCCGAAATGCAGACTGCAATGCACTAATGCTAATGTATGCCTTAATGCCGAAAATGGACTGAACAATGAATGATCCGAACCAGTGCGATCTAACGTCGCTCAATTAATTAATTAAATTTTCTCCAAAAAGATAGGGTTTAGTCTAAACCACACCCGTACCCGAGCCTAGTTGTGGCGAGACGAGGCGGACGGTGCACGTATGTGTGGTCGAACCGAAGGCATGTAGGTGCTCGCTCCACTCATAAAATTGTGGTACCCCTTGGGGCCCAATCCCATAGAGCAAACTTGACATACATATGCCCATGTTGAATTTCTTCTTTAACCAATGTGGAATTGGTGTCAAATCCCACATTGCACAAACTTTATTTTCACATTTCAAGAGGGTCACGTTGGAGTCTATTTTCTAATTCATTTCTTACTCAATTTGATCAAGTGAATATACTACATTATTCTCCTCACAGAGTAGAATATGAACCCATGAAAGTTTACTCGAAATAACGAACAAGTCCCACTTTAATTTAGACTCAAAATCGACCAAAAATTTAGTTTTTACACATAAAAAACTGTTTTGGTCCAACAGTAATGAAAGGTAAAATAGGTACATATTTTCTCTAACAGTTTTTCTCTTTCTCTCCCTATTTTTTCTTACACTATTTATATTAATATTACAACAACACAATTACACTAATCAGTTACATCAATCAGTTATAATTGTCCTATAATACATCAAACAATTATTCATACGTTCTAATAAACTAAATAGTTACACAAAATTATAACATCAACTCAATTTGTCATTCAATTGTTTACATAAACTAAATAGTTGCACCATTTAGTATCGCGGCATCGTTATACCATTATGCTTTAACAATTGCATAAGACTATGATTGTCAAAAAACGGTTACACCCATTATAAAAACAGTTACACCCATTAAAAAAAAATTCCTACATCCCAACAACGAACAATATATAATATCTAACAAAATATATTGGTCGATTCCCATTTTTTTTTAAAAAAAAAAATTCAGGGTATAATCAATCATCATAGTAAAAAACTTTATTCTTTTTGGTCAGATGATGTGGAAGCGAGGTTGGTGACATGAGACGACATATATATATGTCAGTTTGTTTCACTTATACTTGCACCCATACTCCTTCATCTTCATCTTCTAACATGAATGCCTTTGCTTTTGCACTCTCTCAGTCTCTGTAAACTCCTATTTTACCTCTCATTACTATTGTTAATCTTTACATATTTGTTTTTTCTAATAACTGTCAATGATGACTGTATAAATTAAGGAATGGTGTTTAGGTAAAAAGAATTTTAATTTATTTTGAATTTTGTACCTAAACACAAAAGGTTTTATAAAAATTGTACTTAAAAGAATAAATAACTTATTCATACACTTTTGCTCATATAAGTCTAACAAATTATACCCACACCCAAAAAACCCTAAAATTTTCTCTTGGTAGGTGGCTCAACATTACTGACTGACCCCATTAAGCCCAGCCGCCAGGGGTCCAAGAAAGAATCCACAAAAAATGGATTGCATACGAAGCATGGTGTACTAGGCCCACCAAGGCTTTCTAAAATTTAGTATAGCAACATCGTTACACCATTATGCCTTAACAATTGCATGAGACTTTGATTGTTACACTCATTAAAAAAATAGTTACACCTATTAAAAAACAGTTATACCCATTAAAAGAAATAATTTCATTCGTTAAAAAATAGTTATACTCATTTAAAAAAACCAAGAATTTTTTTTTTTCCTATATCCTAACAACAAACAATACATAATATCTAACAAAATATATTGGCCGATTCTCTTTTTTTTTGGGAAACATTTAGGGTTTGATCAATCATCATAGTAAAAGACTTTATTCCTTTTGGTCAGATGATGTGGAAGTGAGGTTGGTGACATGAGACAACATATATATATATATTGACAGGGTATAATTATCCATTAATAATATAACAAGTGGACAAATGGATCTCACATAGAATTGTTTTTGCATGACATGAATAGATTGTTATTTAATTATGTGAGAGATCTACTTGTCCAATTGTTGTCTTATTAATTGTCGGTTACACTATATGAATGTGTTACGTGATAACATTATTATGCAACCGTTATATTCGATATTTACTCCTCAACCCCACCCTAGCTTATTCCATGTCTTTAGCAATGAAGCCTTTATCTGCAGCAGCTTGGATATTTGATGGTTTCCTACTAGCTAGGAAGATTAAGAAAGCTAAAACTCTGCTCTAATCTAATTTAGTCAGACAACTAAGAAGAACAAGAATAGCCGCCCGAAACACCGCCACATATTTATTTCATCAATTCAATAACAACACACACATACACTTAATATATAACATCAACCAATTTTAGAAGAGAGAACAAAGCAATAAAGAAGCTTCATCATCCTTAATTAGTTGTTCCTGGGTTTTTTGATTGGATTGCAGATGGAAGAAGAACCTTCAGCTTCACAGACCAAGAGAAAATGGAAAGGTAGTGGAGCTCAACCAACTACCACCAGCAATGAAGTTTCCAGGACTGAATGGTAGAGCCTGACTTGCACTAGTAAGCACCCTGTAACCTTTCCAGGTTACCCTCTTTGAGGTGCTGGCACCAGCTCCAGTGTTCTGGTACTCTGCATAGAACAATGTGTCAAGTGCAAAATTTCCATCCCACTCGTACCACCCAGCAGGATTGATCACATCAGAAATTGTCGATTGCATAACAACAGTCCTAGAATATTCCTTCCATGGTCTGCCAAGATACGTCGGAAAACTGCTTATGACAGGTTTTAAATCAGAAGTAGCTCCAATCCTGCATTTCTGAATAACGATTCCAGTGTTCTGGTTAGGGTCAGTTCGGCCTTGGGCTGTCACCATGTTCTTTTGGCCGGAATTGGGACGACGTGCATGAATATCACAGTCTTGTAAAACAGCCCCGGAATTGCCGAAGATGAAATCGACAGTACCGGCTACGAGGCAACCCACAAAGAATTGGCGATTGGAGTGGACATAGAGAGTGTCTTGGTAAGCTAGAAAATCACAGCGATAGAACGCTGATAAGTCTGCCCCAACACGAAGCGCCACCGCTTGGTGCTTTGATGGGCCTGCTGTGTTTTGAAAGGTTATGTCTCGCGCCAGGAAGCCTTCACCCACCACAGCTGCACCCAAGCCCAAATGGGAAACATTCAAAAATGTCAATGAATCAGTTGAGCCTCACATTCTAATAACATTAAATGATGGTGAAAGATAAATTATTTGTGTAACATTAGCAAGTGAGTCCTTCTCCCTAAATTCGTTAGATGTTTTAATGGAAAGTGGTGAAGTATGTCACTCATGTGACACAAATGAGTTTTAGTCTGGTCACGTGAATTGCACACTCCTCCACTTTCCGTCAAAACATCTAACGGATGCCAACAAAAGAGATCAATTATTACAAGTAGCGAATTGAATGGCTCAATTGACACAATAAAATTCAAACTTAATATTCATTAGTAGTTTACTCTAATTCCTAAGTTGATGTCCATCCACTCTACTCGCACTAAAACTTTCGATTACAAGGAATCTAACAACGTAATCACTTTTTAAATTTAGATAACGGAAATTTTATAGCAAAAACGTATTAAGGGTTTGTTAATCTTACATATTAACAGAAATAGGACACAAAGCTTCAAATGATAGTTAACATGAATAATAAGTATGTAGTATGTATTATTATTACACACCAACAATTAGTCATGCACTATTTTTTTTTTATTGATCTAACATTGTATCAATTGTTTTAGATTCTTAGAACAAAATATGAGTCTTTGTCAAAGCTTAGTAGGGAAAATCTCATTTTGTCCCCTAAAAGATATAAAAACTCTCAATTTGTTTTCCGAATGATTAATTTTTTCACATCGTTTCCTCAAAAAAATAAAAACGTTACAATATGGTTCATTATTTTATTTTCATTTGATCGTCCGTCTGTTTTGTACCAAATCAACTAATCAAGAATCACAAAACAGATGGACGACTAAACAAAAATAAAACGGTAGACCACCTTGCACCGTTTTTAGTTCTTTAAGGAGATTATATATGAAAATTAATCATTCGTAAGACAAATTGAAATTTTTTTTCTCTTTTAACGGACAAAATAAGATTTACCCTATTAAATATAATAGGAACACAATATAAAATTAAATAAATATAATTTAAAACGATATGACACAAATCAATTCACCCCCCAAAACCCCTGCAGCAATTATGGAGTAAGATCATGTTGACAAAGACCAATCAGCATTCTACATTGCAAAGAATCACATGTTAGAAGCATTAAAGTCAATAATAAACAAAACAAAAGATCTATTAGAGTGTAGGCTAACAGCCCCGTCTAGTTTCATGATATAAAAAAGGAACCGTAATTGGTGGAAACACGTAGAAAGAAAACACCCCTACTATCCTAATCATACTGAAAGCAAAAAGGTACTACCCAATATTAATTTGTAGAGAAAAGTCAATAGACAAATGACAAGTAACATGTATACGAAAAGCACTGCTTGGGTGTAAACCACCAATTCGAGGCCAAGTACAGACAAAGTGGACGACATAGCAACATGGCCTTTCTGCTTTTATTATTCAAATCAGTAACATTTGTCCATTTTTTTCTAGAAAAAAATTGACAAACATTATACGTGTTTATAGCTGTGAACATGATTAGGGAAGCCTCTCACTGGTTTGACTAATCTTGCATGATTTTGTTTCTCATCTTTTTTTCCTTTTTCTTTTTCTTTTGGTTCAACCGTTAAAAATATTTAAGTCAATTAATGCGCGTCTCGATTAATCTTTTTTCGATTCAATCAAAGATAAGTCATTCACGTTTAGGACTAGAATATTCATGACATATTTATTAAGATTTGAACTCATAACGACTGACTTTACAACTCGTCTATGTTACCACTTAAACTATATCTTTAGATTTTCTCATCAATCACATGACGAGAGTCATGTGATTGGGATTTAATCATATGGTCTAAAATAATTGAACGTTTTTCTTGTGTATGGTCAATCTTAATCATAATAATTGGGTCCCGGTTAATTTGAAAATACAACAAAGAAAGATCTTTATTACTAAAATGCAAATGGTGAAATCACATTTTTATGGTGTACCCTCTTCAAGGGTGATAATGTATAGTTGTGCAAGTTATTTTTGGACTGTGTTGTTTTATAAATTAGTCTATTTCATTTAATTATTGTACTAGATATATTCGTTACCTTGACTTTTTCATCCTTCAATTAAAATTGAAGACTAAATGACAGTTATCTCTTAACCAATTCCCATTACAAATAATTTATTTTAAAGGTTTAAAATTCACTAAAATAAATAACACCTTATTTTACAAGCATTCATATTAATATTTTATAAAAATTTTAAAAAAAATTAAATATTTTCTGTTAATAAATTACACTTAAACCCTTCTGAAGTTTATAAGGATATAATACTTAGACCCTTTAAGTTTAAAAAATTATATTTAGACCAAAAATACTTCAATCAATGATAGGATATCAAATATTTTAAATTTTACAATCAAAATTCATGTTCTATTGTATTATTTATTGAAATAAAATTAAAATTAAAAAATTTAATTTTTTCTTAAAAATTGTAATTAGTATACAATTATACTATTTTTTGAAATAAAACTAAACAATCAAATGAGGGATCTAGGTCATTCATAATAAGACATATATTTTATAACCAAAATTCATGTTCTATTATATCATTTATTGAAATAAAATTAAAAATAAAAATCTAGGTTTTTAAAAAAAAATTATAGTTAGTATATAATTATACTATCTATTAGAATAAAACTTAAAAAAAATAAACAAGGGGTTAAACTGTAATGGACATAATATATTTTATCTTTAGTTGGGGTAATTTGATATTTTAATTTGGTTATTTAAACGACTAAATTAAATTCTAATAAACTATTTGTATACTAATTACGATTTTTTAAGAAAAAATTAAATTTTTATTTTTAATTTTATTTCAATAAATGATACAATAGAACATGAATTTTAATTATAAAATTTAAAATATTTGATATTTTATTTTTAATTGAAGTATTTTTGATCTAACTATAACATTTTAAACTTAATGGTCTAAATATTATACATCTACAAACTTCAAAGTGGTTTAAGTATAATTTATTAACAGATATATTTACATCAGGGTTTTAAGTGTTACGCGCGTACAAACTTCATGGGATCTATGTGTAATATTTTAAATATCAGGAGTCTAAGTAATTAAGTAACAAATGTAAAGGAGCTGAGTGTAATTCTCACTAACTTAATATTGTGGTCCCAAAGGTCTGATTGGCGTGTCCTACAATCAGATACTGCTACAAAGTAGACAGGCAAGTGGCTCCTCTGTTTTTTTTTTTCGGAAAGTAAGTGGCTCCTCTTATCCTTCAGAGAAATATTCTATTTAATTTTTTAAAACAATTCATTTTATCCCCCGAAAGATACAAAAAAATTTTAATTTACCCCCCCCCCCCAATAGTTAATTTTTTCACATGACTCCCTCAAAAAAATAAAAACATTATAATGTGATCTACCGTCTTATTTTTATCTAGTCGTTGGTTTATTTGTGCTAAATTAATCAATTAAAAATTACAAATATAAGCTTGAATGTTTGATATATTATTTTTTTATTAACAATACACATCAGTTGATACAGAACAAGTGATGTCTTAAATCCGTACAAAATTTTGTCATTATCCTAAGGGTAAATGTGATTCGTGTTTTGATTGGGACAAGCCAGCCAGTGAGGTGGGGGACTCCTATCCTTTGTCGCTCTAATTGCCAGACGTTATGAATACATACATAAACAAATAAGGATAAATAAATTCTGGTAGTCCTTTGAATTCTGGACCGTCACCGCACATGGCATGGGCACACCCATCACCGGCTTATAAGCAACGGATTGATAATGCTTCCTGACAATCTTACGTAATCTTATTTAATAATAATAAATATTATAATTTTAATTACGACCCACTATTTATAAATCAATTTTTATTTATATATGATAAATTATCTATCATTAAATAAAATAGAATGAATTAAGATAGAAATGATATAACAAAGCATAGATGGAATAATCCAAGAAAATAATGAAGGTAATGCTAAATAAACTTAATCTACTTATTTAATTTATTAGAACCGTTGAATTAATCGTAAATTCTACCTGGTACTAAATCGAAAATTATAATTTTTGAATATGAAGTTATAATTTTTTTGAAATATAAGTTACAATTTTAAATGATACGATATCAATCTAGAGCTTATGATCGATCATGGATATGTTCCTTTTAAAATTAAAATTTTATTATAAGAAATGGTAAAAGAAGGTACGATGAAATTAGATGAAATAAATGGAGATGAATAAACTAAGCATAATTAGGGTATTGAACGATGAATTAAAAGGGAATGAGAGAAATCTGAACTCACCGACGGTAGCAGAGTTGAAGGTTGTGCTGCCATCAACCACATTCCGACTTGCCGTAATAATGGTGGTAGTTCTACCATCACCCAAAAACATTATGTTGGTCTTCTTCTTGGGCACGTCCACATTTTCCCTGTAAACACCCGCCTTAATTCTGATCACGTATCTCCGGCTACTTCCCTCAGGCGCAGCGGCCACTGCCGCCGATACAGTCTTATAGTTGCCGCTGCCGTCCGCCGCAACAACCACGTTCGGCGTCACCGACGAAGACTGCAATAACCTCCTATCTCCGGCGGATAACCACTTAGGCCACCCATCTGTATCCTCCTCCACCGTGAGCTTCCTCCCCTTCAACTTCATCTCATTCGCAATATCGGTGTCCGTCAAGTTCTTTATCAAGGCCAATACATTACTGCACAACTTTTCTACTTTCGATTCACCCTTCAGCAACACTTCACGCACACGTTTATCAGCTTTATCGTGCGAAAAGCCGTCGAGGCAAGTCTCTTGGTTGGTCATTGCAGCGCTCAGGAGGGTTTTGAGGTCATCGGCGTGTTGGGTGAGAGACTTCTTTTTAGGGTACATATGAAGGTCGTCTTCAACCTTGTGGAGCTCATCAAGCGTCTCGTCAATGGTTTCGAGACAGTCATGAAGAGCAGTCTTCTCTCTCTTTGTGAGATTTTTTGTCTTAGTGAGCTTCTTTACTGTTAAGAAATTGTGTTCGACGGCGGTGATGGTGATGTTTAAGGCCAGCTTGATTACGTCCATCGGGCTTGAAACTTTCTTGCTCATTCCGGGGACTGAAGCAAGAGAAGAGAAGCACAATTCTGGGTATAGCGTGCTGCTACAGGAGGACTTCAGAATGGCATGAGCTTGGGAGATTACAATGTTATGGTGGTCGGAGTGGTGGCTTCGTGAATTTACTCCGGCAACAACGGCGATTATCATGACAACGACTAGGACAGAGGCAAAAAGAGTTAAGAAGAGTTTTTTCTTTTTCTTGGAGATGGAAATGTGCTTGCCGGAGTTTGACATTCCGGCAACGAATTCTTTGATCTGGGTCATCTCTTTGGGAATTTTGAGAATATGGGGAAGGGAAAGTGGTGAGGAAGAGGTCTGGATATGGAAAGTGGTGAGGAAGAGGTCTGGATATGGGGTTTTATATAGTGACTGAACTGATGTTAATAACTTCAAAGATCAGATATGGTTTCTGTAATTTTATTAACAATGGAGTACAAACACCCTAGTGCTTTTAATATTAATAAATTTAATGAGATAATACATATATATATTTTTTTTTCTTTTTCTTTTTCTTTTTCTTTAAGGTGGTACCGCTACCTCTCTCTAATTAAATGATAATTTTATGGATATTAAACTTGTGCATTAAAATTTATATCAAATCAAGTGTAATCATTAAATCAGTAATTAGATCTATGACCTAACGATTTTAAGCCATTTGATATAAATTTTATTGCACATAACATTGTTCCGAAATAAAAGTCAGATTCTTAGTTCTGTTGATAACTCTGCGAGGTTAGGCGTAATGCATAAAAAAATAAATAAGAAAGAGAAAAAAGGACTCAAGTAATCCAAAAATAACACAGGTACCTGAATACTTCAATTAACTTCAAATACTTACTCTTTATTACGTAATCAAGAATATCTTTCCTACGCCATTGATACTATCTTTCCTACGCCATTGATACTTGAGCCACTAATTGATAGGAATGATGAACAAAAATAAATTTATGCACCACTTGTCAAGTAATTTATATAGGTAATAAATACAATAAATATAAAGATGAAATCAACGTAGACAATACACATATATAGAATAGTTCAGTTAAGAAGACCTACTCCGTTTTGAAGGCGATAACAGTGGTCGAAAGACTTTATTGATAAAGTGAGAGCGAGAAAAAGAGAGAGAGAGAGAGAGTACGCTATAGGTGAAGTGTGTAAAGTCTCTGTGTGAGAGATAGTTGTCTCAGAGAGATGTCTCCTTTCATGTGTACAGGGCTTACAATTTAAAGGTATAAATCCCTAATTGAGACGGTGGTCCTGAAAGGTAAGTTACTAGTCTTTTGGAGACGATAACTCAATATTTGAGAGTGATTATCCTGATGATTGTTTCCCATGTACGTTAATCTTTTTAGACTCTTGAGCTTCGACTTAAATTGAGGTCATTAACTGAGTTTGACCTACCTTTTGATGATTTGAGTTCAACCCATAACCTAGTCTAAATCTGAACTTGTAAGATAGGTTACTCTTCATCTTTTTCTATTACAAATAAGTCATCTAATAAAAGGGTGAACAATATTTCATGATAGGCATGACATTGAAGATGAGACATTCACATGATCAGAGACCAGAATAGATGGTGCTTCTTGAAAATTTCCTTATCAACAAATTATTTTTCATGCATTTAAGTGAGATGCATCATATACAATCAAGATCTCTCGCTCATTAATGATAAATGATGTGCCAAGAAAAAAATTAAAAGAAAAATGTGCATGGTGGGGTATAATACTCTTTTGTTTTGTTCCCTTTCTTGTGTAACGATTTTTGGGTGTTAGGTGGCTTCATTTTGGACTTTAATTTCTCTCTATGAATTATATGCCTGAATATAGGTGTTGCTTTTATTTATACTAGAGATAATTCGTGTCTGAAGACATGGTGCAAAGTGAATAGTTTTAAGAAATTATTACTGGTCGTTGAATGAGTCTATTTAACACTGTTGAACAAATTTATTAAAATCTATTATATTTTATATTATAGATATAAATACTGTATACATATAATTGCAACTTGGAATACAAGTGGGTACCAAAAAGTTCATAGGGCTAGCTTTGAATGTGATTCAAAGTGGATTTTTGTTTCATTATCTTTTTTTAATATTAATCCCACTTTTGAGTTAATCACATAATCTAATTTATAACTTTAATATATCTATTGCTATTATGAGATTAATTAATTGTAGACTTTACTTTATAATTAAATTAGATTAGAAAATTAAGTTAAATAATTATAATTAAGTACCATTATCGGCTGGATCTGAATTGTTTTTAACCGATAAATACAAGTGGGTATGAAAAGCTAAGCCATGGAATTTTTTGGTTTCTGCACCTTGCTATTTTTTTCTATCCATGGAATTTTTTGGTTTCTGCACCTTGCTATCTTTTTCTAACCACTCAAATCATTTACTGCTCAGTTTTTTTTTTTTTTATTAATTTCAACTATGAGGATCTTTGAATTAATTTATAAGCATTTCGATTAATCTCTTTCCCGGTCTGATCAAAGATAAATCATATACATTGAGATTAGGGTATTCATTAAAAATAAATTCCTCATTGCGTGACCCTAAAGAGTAGCTAAAATTCGAATTTAAAACATTTAGATTTACCGTTTGTCTTTTTTACCACTTTAATTATCCTTAATGTTTTGTTTAGTTTATCCAATGGTTAGTGTTCCCCCCCCCCTTCTCTCTCTCTCTCTATATATATATAATAATATATATATATAATAAAACAGTTAGCTGTTTGAAATTTTATCTCATTCATATTTGTTTCCCCCAAGACCATTCATTTACTTATTTCTATCACATATTTAATCATTTAATATGCAAAATTTTATTTCAGACATTATTGATACACAATAGTATACACTTTTTTTTTCGATTTTTAAAAAAAATAATAGATTAAAATAAATTTTAAATAATGTAATCAAAGTAATGAAGGAAAAAAATTATTATTTAATATAGCAGGATCAATTTTTCGAATATTTGAATTTTATGTTTTATAGTATTTTCAGACACGGGATTTTAACTACTATATATATATATATATATTAGTCATAACTCGTGTCTAAAAGTACGATAAAACATAAAATTCGAGTGTTTGAAAAATCAATCACACTATATTAAATAATAATTTTTCTTTCCTTCATTTATTTAATTATATTATTTAAAATTTATTTTTACCTATTATTTTTTAAAAAATATCTACAAAATATATAACTCGACAAATTTTCTCAATATATGTATACTACCGTGTATGAATAATGTCTAAAATAAAAATTGTTAACTATAAATTAATTAAATATTAAATGATTAAATATATAATAGAAATAAGTGATATGATAGTTTTAGGAGGAAAATATGTAAGGAATAAAATTTTAAACACTTAGCTGTTTTATTTTATATATATATTAATTTCCTAGCAGCATAATTTATTTTTTTTATTATTCATCGATTAAATTGTAAGAGTCAAAAAAGTGTCGCAAACGGGGTCTTGTACCGACCACTGTAACATTTATGACAAGACTGAAGCAGTCTCGATGGAATCACATGTGCGTTATGTAAGTTATTAATGTGACCTTAACTGTCAGTCATAATTTGATACTAATAACCTTTAAATATCAAAATATTAGTTATTATCTATGTCTAAAGATACAGAATAATAAAAATAATAAATAATAAATATATTTATATTCATATCTAAAAATTAAATTATAAACATAAAAAAGAGATACAAAAATTTAAGCATCGATTTGTAGTAGTGGGCGGCAGTAGTGGTGGAAGGAAACAATAATGGTTGTGATGGGTGACAATGATTGTGGTGGCGGCGAGAGCGACGGCGACACGGCAACGGTGGTGGTGATGGCGGCGGGTGGTGGGGGTGGCGGTGGCAGTGGTAGAGATAGTAATAAGGCGGTTTCAACACTATTTTTTTTAAAAGTATTTATGAGAAATAATTTTTAAAAGTACTTTTAAAAAGTCATTCAAAACACATCTTTAGGGGCCTATTTTTCTATTAATTTTAAGTTGTTAATATTAGCCGTTAGATTAACTTTAAAATAAAATTTAAAGTAATTTAAACCGCGAAAAACAAAAATCATTTTGTTTATCTTTTAAAATTTGAATTGTAAATTACTTTATTATATAAATTTTGTTTATCTTTTAAAATTTGAATTGTAAATTACTTTATTATATAGATTATTCTATTCATACGTAAGAGTTCGTATATGAGTGAATCTTACATATTATAAATGTTATAATATACATAAATATTTCTTATTTTATATCTAAAATATAATGTTGTAACTTTAAATGCTTGATTTTTTTTTTATACCTTAAAACAATAATTTTTTTCTAGTTAACTCAAAATGTGAAAGAACAAGTATATATATATATATATATATATATATATATATATATATATATATATATATATATATATATATATATATATCTAATTAAATGAACTTTTCTCAATGATTGTATTTATAGATTAATTTGTACATTGTTAATTTATATAATTACTAGTTATTGTCTGTGCCTGAAGGCACAGAGTAATAAAAAATGATAAATAATAAATATATTTATATTCATATCTAAAATCAAATCATAAATATAGAGAAGAGATAAATGAATTTAAGCATCGGTTTGTAGTGGAGATGAGAGGTGGTGGGCGGCAATGGTGGTGGTAGTGGCAGTGGTGGCGCCGACAATGGAGGCGATGGCGGTGGCAGTGGAGGTGGCGGGACGGTTTCAAACACTATTTTTTTTTTAAGTATTTATGAGGAATAATTTGTAGAAGTACTTTTACAAAGTCACTCCAAACACACTCTTAGGGGCCTATTTTTCCTATTAAATTTAAGGTGTTAATATTAACAGTTAGATTAACTTTAAAGTAAAATTTAAAGTGATCTCAACCTCGAATAGTAAAAGTCATTTTGTTTATCTTTTTGAGATTTAAATTGTAAGCTTCTTTATTATATAAATTTGTTATTGCTTGTGCCTAAAGACACAAAATAATAAAAAATGGTAAATAATAAATATATTTGTATTCATATTCAAAATCAAATAACAAATATAGAGAAGAGATAAATTAATTTAAACATCGACTTGTAGTAGGGGTGAGAGGTGGTAGGCGACAGTAGTTGTGGCGATGATGGTGGTGGTGGCGGCAACGGTGGTAGTGGGGGTGGCTGTGGCAAAAGGGTGGTGGTAGCGGTGGTGGTTTGTAGAGGTAACGGTGAGACGGTTTCAAACACTATTTTAAAAAATA